AAGCCCCCCCCCCCGGCCCCCGAACCCCCTGGGCTGCCCACAAAGCCCCGGGGCAGGGTGGGTACCAGCAGCACCCCGGTGCCACCCCAGCCTATCCTCTCTCCCCTCCCCGGTAGCCGCCGGCCCGCGGGGAGAGCAGTGACGCCTGCTACTTCTGCGGCCGCCGCGTCTACATCCTGGAGCGAGCCAGCGCCGAGGGACGCTTCTTCCACCGCGGGTGCTTCCAGTGCTGGCAGTGTGGGGCCACCCTGCGCCTGGGCGACTACGCCTTCGACGAGGAGGACGGTGAGGCGGGTTATGGGGAGAGGGGATGCTCAGGGCAAAGTTTCTCTAACTTGCAGGTCGTCACATGGGTTTGGGCCCTCCCCCAGGTCATTTTTACTGTTCGCTTCACTACCCCAATCCACCCAGCATGGATCTGCCCCAGGACGAGCCCCCGGCGCTGCCTGATGGGGTAAGTCACTGTAAATCCCCCCAGATGATGGAGGAAGGGCAGAAGGTGGAGGGGTTTGCTTGGGCACAGCCCCATGTGGCCTCACCCCTCCACCCCTGGCTATGCCCTAGGATGCCGCTGCCACCCGCCCGCCCTTGGATGCTGGGAGCCTGTGTGTGGCCCCCAAGGAGGGGGCATTCAGTCCCCTGCACCCCCCGGCAGCAGCCCCACAGCCGGGGGGAGAGCCTGTGGCAGCAGAGGATGATGCGGATGCTGGAGACACAGAGGAGCAGGAGCTGCTGGCAGAGCCTGAGGAGGATATGAGCGAGGAAGAGGATGTCAGAGCAGAGCCCCAAGCGCTAGCAGAGGAGGGTGAGGAGAGTGGGGGCAGGAGGAAGATTGTCCTCACGCCACTGGAGAAGCTCAAGCTGTCCACGCTGAACCTCACCGCTGAAGGAGAGCCCGAGCCGCCGCCGAAGCCGGCTCGTCGGTGGCTCCAAGCAGCACCTGAGGTTCTCCCTGCCCAGTGGCAGGGACAAAACGCCTGGGAGGAGGAGGAGGAGGAAGTGGCTGTAGAGGAAGGTGGGTGGCTACAACCTGGAGCCTCCAGCCGAGCAGGGCTCTGGCTCGCTCCAGTACTCTGCGATGCCTCACATCTTGTTGGTGAGGCACTGGCACAAAATGGCTCTTTTCTTGGGGCAGCTCTGGAGGAGAGTGACAGTGAGAAAGAGGAGGAGGAGGAGGAGGAAGGCACAGACCTTGGCATGATGGCAGAGTTGGTGAGTGCTTTCCCTGAGCGGCAGTGGCCCCACCAGCCCAGACAGTGGCTGGGGCTCTTGCTCCTCTCACAGAGGCACCGGCTCTAGCTGCGGGGGCAGGAGGTGCCTGACGCAGGGACTGACCCCCCCGGCCCGTGCCACCATCCCTTCACAGCACTTGGATCTGGAGGAAGAGGAGAAATACCCCACCTGGAAGCGCACACTGGCCCGCCGGGCCAGGGAAGCCCAGATGAAGCGGTTCTGCAAAGCCCAGGTAGCCCCATGGGGGAGAGCCGGGTCCCCAGCCCAGTGCCATCCCCCGTCCCCTCCATCCTGCTGTCAGTGGCCACATGCCAGGACGTGCCAGCCCACAGGCAAGCACTGCTTTTCCCTCGCAGGCCATCCAGAGGCGGCTGGAGGAGATCGAGGTGACATTCCGGGAGCTGGAGCAGCAGGGCATCAAACTGGAGAAGTTACTCCGGGATGAGGATGGTAAGGCCAGGGTGGATGGGGGGGCACTGTGATCCCCCCATGACAGGGGGAGTTTGCACCTCATTCACACCCCCCCTGCCCCGCAGGCACCCCAGCTGACAAGAAGACACAGTGGATGAACCAGCTGCTGTACCTGGTCCAGAAGAAGAACAGCCTGATGTCCGAGGAGTCAGACCTCATGATCGTGTAAGGCTTGGGGGGGATGCTCCCCAGTCGGTGTGGGGGCTCAGCTCGCCCCAAACGCAGCACCCAGCACCCCCCTTCCCTCCCCACAGGGTGCAGGAGCTGAAGCTGCAGGAGCAGCAGTGGCAGCTTGACCAGAAGCTCCGGTCCTACATGAACAGGGAGGGTGAGTGCCAGCATGTGCCAGGGGGGGTCCCTGTGCACGGTGGGGGGAGCATGGCTGGGGCTGTGGCCCACACAGCCCTGCTCCAGCCCTCTGCTCCCGCAGAATCCCTGAAGACACCCGAGGATCACGCAGCCGAGCAGGAGATCCTGGAGCAGCTGGTGGAGGTGGTGAACAAGCGCAACGTCCTCATCCACATGCAGGAGGAGAAGCGGCTCAGCGAGCTGCGGGCCTGATCCGTGCAGCCCCAGGACCCACCGGCTCCTCCCTGGGGGGACAAGCAGTGTGTCCACCCCCCCGCCCCAAGCCGAGCATCACCCTGAGCTGCCTCTGAAGGTGGTGATGCCTGAGCTGCCCGCAGGTGCAGGCAGCTGCCGCGGCGAAGCCAGCTCCCTGCTTGCCAAAGCCTGCCGTGGGGAGACACCAAGGAGCACCCCGACTTTGGGGGATGGAGAGGGCACCCCCGCGCTTGGCTGGATTGCCTTTGCCTTGTGCTTGCTTGAAAATGAGATTTGCAGGGGGCTACGAAACACGGGGACTGCGGTGGCTCGGCCCAGGGTTTGCCACAGGAGGAAGAAGCCCCACGGGGAAGTGGGGTCTCGCCCGGTGCAGGTCCCACAGCCGGCACCGCTTCGAGGGGGCTTGGCTGGGGCATCGAAAGCGTTTTGTCTGGCAAAGCCCCTTGTGCTTGGTTGCAGCACTGGCTGACTCAGAACAGGAGGGGAAAGGTGCCTCATCTACCTGTCCAGCCCCGGGCCCTGGGCCCTGATGGATTTTGCTCCTGGTAGCAGGGATGTGACTGGCCACCACAGGCAGGTCACAGTGGAGATGCCAAATGTGGAGGGGCAGTGGCAGGAGCAGCCCCTGGAAGTCACTCCAGGATGTTCTTCCCAGCCTGGGACATCCATCTCAGCCTGGCACTTCCATTTCTTCCCAGGACATCCATCCCCGCTGGGGACATCTGGCTCTAGGAGTGGGGTCAGCAACAGCCAGACGGGGCTGATCCCACTGCTCTGCATCGCTGCTTTTGGGTGCCACGGCCACGCTGTCCCTGGCTACTGCAGGAAACCAGGGTCCAAAACGCCCCTGTGAGGCCCCAGGACTGGGGAAGGGGCTTTTTGTCCAGCAGCTCCCCAGGGGGATTGTGCCCTGGCACTGCGTGACACCAGGGACAAGGGACGCCAGCGGCCGTGTCCTCCTTGCCCCTTTGGGCTTTCTCCTGCTTGGCAATGCCATGACCTTTGCACAGACCTCTCAGACCTTCCTGGAGGCCCCAGTTGTTGTGGGGTGGCCTCGACGGCCAAATGGTGCTTACAGCAGCCCCAGCCATGGCGGGCAGGGGGGTCCTGGGCACAGGCTCCTCCGTTAGCGATACCCCCGCCACGTTCAGCCCTCGTCCTGCCCTCCCCAAATCCTCCAGCCCGCCTTGTTTGTACCAGCCCTACCATGCTGCTGCAACCCCCCCCTCCCTTTGAATAAAGCCTCCCCGACCCGGCACCAAGGGATAAAATACTGCTTTTATTTTCTATCCAAGTTAAATCTGGTTGCCGGAGCAGTCGCCAGCTTTCACCAGCAGCCCCCGAGGCCGCCCCAGGCAAGGGAGGGCTGAGCCTCTCGAGCCTCCTGGCCACACTGGTGGGTCCCTCCAGGTAGAAAAGGTGTATTAAAAAAACAGCAATTAAAACCCGCCTCTGTTGTGGTTCCCATAGGGGCCAACGCGACGAATGTACCTCAAAAAAATTTCACCCAGAGAGGTGGCTGTTGAACCAGCGCTGCTGGCCTAAAACTAGAAGTCAACTAGAAAATGGGATCAAAAGGTGCCGGGATGGGACTGGGGGGGGACATCGTGGGACACCCACAGCCCCGGCTCAGCCGTCGCTGGGACGCTCCTGCAGCGCCCGCAGCGCCATCCGCATCTGCTCCTCGGTGCCCTGCAGCATCTTCACCTCCATGGTGTGGAAGAGGTGGAGGCCGGTGGCGAGGAGGAGGACGCCGATGGCGAGGAAGGCCAGCAGGGAGAAGGAGAGCTTGGGGAAGGGCTGCCCGGCAGCCAGCCCTGCCAGCGCGCCCAGCACAGCCAGGGCCTGCAGCAGCAGCAGCAGCAGGGCCAGCACGGCCATCCTGCCCGTGGAGTAACGCTGCTGCCGCGCTGCCCGCAGCCCCACGCCCACCTCCGTCCGTGCCTCCGTCACCACGTCCACCAGCGTCGGCTCTGGGGGGGGACAGGAGCAGCTCAGCAGGGTGGGACACCCCCTTATACCCCTTTTTTTACCCTGTCCCCACCGCTCTGCCCTGTCCAGGCACCCCTCCACAAGCAGCACCCCAAGGGGTGTTCTAAGCAAAGGGAAACATCCCCAAAAACTCTTACGCACCTCCACCAGTTCACCCGCCAGCCCTGCTGGCACATGGGGTCCTCGCCAGCACCCCCCCCACCTTACCAGCTGTGCCCAGGGTGGCACCCGCAGACCGTCCCTGCCTCTGGATGTGCAGCGTTGCCATCACGGCTTCGTGGTCTGAGAAGGGGATGTCCATGCCCGGGGCTGGCCCCGTGGTGGTCTTCAGCTCTTCGCACTTCACCGTGAAGCTGGAAACAGCCTGGACAAGGGGATGGGGGGCGTGTGTGGGACAAGTCACGATGGTGTCTCCCCCCTTGCCACCCGCAGCCGGTGGCCGAGGGCCCCCCCGTACCTTGTAGAGGATGTAGTCGATGCGGATGCCCAGCGGGAAGGGCAGCAGCTCTGACTTGACGGTGAAGCAGTTGTTGGGGATGAGGGTGCAGCCATCCTCACAGCCCTGGGACGGAGTGTCCGGGTGGGTGGGGGGCTTTGGGTGCTCCCCGGGACCCCGCTCACACCCTGACACTCACCTCAAAGTGCGCGGCCTCGGCAAAGGCGTCTCGCAGCCCCGTCCAGCCGCGCAGCAGCCGGATGCCCACGTCTTCGGGGTGCATGTTCAGGTCCCCTCCCAGCAGCACCACATCGGCCGCCTTCGAGGTGTGTCTGCAGGGATGGGGACAGCTAATCCCCTGCCCTGCCCTGCACCGGACTGGGGTGACTGGGAACCCCCCCAGTGCTCCATAGAGTTACTCCTGCTTGGGACTGGTGCGACTGGGAGCTCCCTGCAGTGCAAGCCCCAGGGGCAGGGGTGACCGTACATGCTTTGGGGACCCGCAGCGGGGGGATCCCGTGGGACACCCCACAGTTTCTCACCGGATGAACTGCGCCAGCTCCCATGCCTGCACCAGGCGGTGGGGCAGGTAGGCGTCCTTCTCCCGGCAGTACTCGGCGTGCAGCTGGCGAGAAGGGGAGCGGGGGCAAAGCAGCCATGACCCCCATGTCAACACTGCCCTGCTCCTTGCAAACCCCCCCAGCCCCTCTA